TTCTTATTCACGAGGCATATTTTGAACTTTAGATTGTTATCTTAAAAAGTAATTAAGTTTGTCTTATTTCTTTGTTTTCTTTGTCTCTCACAGGTCCACCTGGACCACAAGGATTACAAGGACAAAAGGGCGAGTCAAATATGCAGTGTAAGTAAATAACACACCTAGCATAGAGAAGACCATAAAGGCTGCATTGTAATAATGTGGATATATTGTAAAGATAGCATAATTGTTCATAAAGAATATTCTATAGGGTTTTTTTTAACAATATGAACTAATTGGAATGTTCATGATCTAACCTAAATGAAGGCATAGTAAAAAATCAGTTAGTTTATTTGGGACATACAGTTGGAGAAAATTGGTAAAACTGCAAAGTTACTGTGACACGGAGGTTAGAGTGGGTACATATTGTCCATTATTCTAGGAAGAGTTTTATATAATATGTTTTCATTGTCGTTAGTAGCACTAATAAGACGCATAGGACTAAATCTTTCTTAAAACTTTCTTCCACTACAGTGAATGTGCGTCTAGTACCTGGGAGAAACAGAGGAAGAGTGGAAGTCATGCATAATAATGTTTGGGGTACTATCTGCGATGACTCGTTTGACCTTCTGGATGGAAGAGTGATCTGTAAGATGCTAGGGTTCCAGTCTGCTATTCACCACTTCACTGCTGCCCCTGGTAAGCAAACAGGCAATGTTTAAATCTATTAGTAGACAAACTTATTTTTATGTATCAAAACTGAGATACATGTATTTATTTAAAAAATCTATTTTGATTTTGTTGATCTACATGTTGGAGAAGCTCTGATATTTTTATTCCTACACATTCTTTTTAAAACAACTTTAGTTCCTCGTTTTGTAAATCAAAGTTTCTTTTGTAAATATTTTTCTCCTTTGGTATTGGATGCAGTTGTTATGCAACATGTAATCTTGTGTTGCCTGCGATGGACTGGTGACCTGCCCAGGGTGTACCCCACCCCTCGCCCGTAGACAGCTGGAGTTAGGCACCAGCACCTCTCACAACTCCATTCGGGATAAAATGTGTCAGAAAATGGATGGATGGAATGAGCAGAAAGATATCACATATTTTATTGATCTTACAGAACATGGCAGTACATTGATGAGAAATGTAGGAAATCGAAAATAATAAAACCCTATGAAAAGCTCCTCCCAGGAACCAGGCAATAAAAAGCCACTTCCAATATCTTAATTGAAACAACAAACATTTCTTGGGTTCCGATAGAATTGCACTGCTTTATCCAGCATACTAGGTCACTGGGCTAAAGCATAAAGGTTTGTCTGCTAGTTAAAAGATTATATGGTCACACACAAAACTACCAATGATACAGTGCAGGGATTTTCTCATGCCTTTTATTTTGAGGACATTTGTTATAAGGCAAAACCATAGCAGCCTTTCCAACCAGGGCAGCTAATTAAAATATGAAAAGCTAAAGTAATGTTTCAATAACATCCCCAAATTTTAAAACAAAGTTGAGGAGCAGACCATGAAAAGGGAAATGAGAGAAAAGGAACAAATACAACTGAGTACTTCCTAACAGAAGAAATAAGGGAGTTATTAAGTAATAATACTATTAAACCCAATACTGGAAAGATACAGTTTTTACTACCTGTGGCTGCCAGAAGAAGTGTGCTTGGCTGGGCCACCATAACATACTGAAAACTGAATTTATTTTACAAGTGGTTATTTAATCTCTTTTTTTGAATGGTGTTAAGTCTTTTCACACAGTTTGGGAATCACCTTTATACTAATATTTTCAGAAGAGATCGTGTAAAAGTTAGTGGGAAAACAACAGATAAAATATTGTTGTGAAAATGATAAG